TGGACAGGATTGAAATTGAAAGTGCTGGTTATAAAGGGTGGTGACATATTTGCAGGAGGTTGTAGAGTCACCCTGTCTTCATACTGCTCTTTTAGTAACACATCCAACACATGCTTGGTTTTTGGAGGGGGCACCCTCTGAGTTGCCCGTGTGTCCCCATGGATGATGGAGGAGGCCTAGATCATGCACTTAGTTTAGATGACTTTGCTTCTTCCCACTTTAATCTTCATCTCCTCGACCAAGGTAGGCTTTGGCTTGGAGTGTTGTATTCGAATCATAGAATCAAGTAGGTTGGAAAAGACCTTTAAGATCATCAAGTCCAACTGCTGCTCTGGTGTTGGTCAGCCAAAACATCAAAACAAAATCATTTCATAGGATAAAATTATTGGAGTGCTATTTTTAAATTATTCATATTTTTTACTAAAAGAACTGAATGGAAACATCTCTCATTTATCAAAACATTTTTCTCTGGTTATTTTTAACTGACAGAAAACCCAGTTGCGTGACTTAAAACCAATGTTTATTCAAGAATATTGCTATTAGAAAGAAGAGCAAAAGAATAACTAAAACAATCCTCAGGATTTATTAAAAGGAAAGGAGGAAAAGGAAGGGAAAAGGAAGGGAAAAGGAAGGAAAGAGAGCAATCACTTCCCAGGAAATGTTCCTGAGCTTGTGACACAAGCTTTAACAAATAGTTTGAAAACTATTTGGGATGAACCTTTTCCTTTTGCTACTGTGACAAGGTAAGAGCTATAGCCATACAGAAAAAATAAATACAGCCTTCATTTTCCTCTTTGGTTTGCTAAAATTGTAGCTAAGGATATTTGGGTGTTGGCTTAAACATGAGGAGGAAAGGAGCTGCCCTCGTTTTGAAAGAGGTAATATCATCTTCCTTTCTTCTCTCTATTATTCAGTCCAGTAAAAGGTAATCATTCTCCCACTGAAATTAGGCAGCCACCTCCTGCTTCCGTGGTTGGGATGGGAGAAGTCACCCTTACTAATGTTAGGAAGTTATTTTGGACTCCTGTCTGCAGTTCACCCCTGAAGCAAGAGAATGAGGCACTGCAACTGACAGCCCAAGCTTGTGTTTTCTCTTATCTGGGGACAACTTGGTGTCCCGACTTTGATGGTCAGGAGGGGAAAGGTGTGAAAAACCTGGGGCTTCCTAGGGTGTCACCCCTTTGAGGCTCAGAATGTCATGCAAAGCCAATTCCTGTTTCACTGGGCCATGGAGGGAAAATAAGCAAGGGCAAGACCAACTGGTCAAGTCAATCAGCAGCAGCTGGTGAGGACTAACCCCAGGTCCCAGAGCTATTGCTTTTTCTCCACCTCCTCTTTCTCAAGCAACTGGTTTTTTTTTTTCAGCAACAGCAAAACCCAATTAAAAATGGCCTCTGAAATAAAGCCAAGCCAAGTTCCGGCTATGGATTGCAAAGGGATTGCCATGCCTTCTCACAGCCACAAGGAAGACCCAAACTTGGAGCCATGGTCGTTCCTGTGCTCACTGCCTGGCTGTGGCCAAAAGTGACATCTTAAACCATGCAGGGAATTGGTTGAGGAAATACAGTGGAGCTGCCTAATGTCTCAGCAGGGGCTCTAAGAATTGGACCTTCCTTCTTTCCAAATTACATTTGCAAGTGGTGAATGCATTAGGCTCAGATTCAGAGTTACCCACTGAGGTGGGCTCCACCTCGTCTAATTGTAGCCACTTAAAAGTTGTATAAACTGCAGAACTGGGTTTCCTCATTTGAGAGAGGGGCTCAGGTGGAGGACTATCCACCTCACATAACCAGAGTGTGACACGCAGATGGTCAAAGTTAGATGGAACAGCTTCTACTCTTAGCATAGGAATGGCATCTCATGCCCTTCCCCAAAGGTGCTTATCTTCTTTCTTGCCTCAGCCTTTAATATTCACCTTTTTTTAGGTTGCAATTAGACTTTTGCCCTGTGAGAGCAGGCAGATTAGTAGTGCCGTGTGGCCTGTAATTCTTCATGGGCTGGAGACAGGAAGAAATTCACTGTGATAATAGTGTCTGTGAATCCAGTAGATGACGGCCAGGGTGTATTCGTCTTGCATGGTGATGTCTCCATTTGCACTAATGCCCCTGCCCTGGGCTGCCTGCAGAGCCAGGAGAGACCTAATTGATGCTCTCAGTAGAGTGTAGACCTTGATGTGTTTCATGCTCAATTAGGCACCTGCGTTTGGTCAGATGAATCAGCCCATGGAAATGTTGGTTTCTTTCCATGAAATGAGCCCCCAGCCAGCAGCTCACATGTGGAGCACTATGGGGGAGACTTCAAAACTGAGGCAGTCAATGCCACCCCAGTATGTCCTATAGATTTCATAACTTATCCCTTTGCCTTTTAAGTCACACAGGGTAAACATCACACTTTGTCAGCCCTAATGTCACTGAAGCAAAGGGTTTTATGTCTGAAGCACGTATGACTCTGCCAGAGTACAGCCCTGTGGAGCCCAGAAGGTCAGCGTTGGCATCTTTATATATATATTCAACTGCTGTGACATGGAAGGATCAGCAGTGAACAAAGCTACAGTCTGGCAAACCTGTGGTAGGGGAGATCTTGCAGTGCTCAGAATGATTTTGGAGGTTTCTGTCAATCTTTGACATCAGTTGTTACTTGGGCTATAAAACATCTCATTGATGATGTGACATAAGGAGGTAACTAAAACAAAATAACCCCATGGGGCTCTCCCAGCATCTGAGTCCCACCATGCTCCAAACTGGCTAATAGAATCAAAGATCTGTTTGGTTCTTTCTTCCCACCCTCAGACTGTGGAAGAGTTCTTCACCCATTTTGTAATTCTTTTAAATACCATTTATGGAAAAATTCTGAGACAAAACATACTTTCAATGCAGTTTATTGAAGGCACAGTGAAAAGCTGGGAAGTCTGAGCAGTCAGTGAAAGAAACCCTGTTGGTGCAAGTATAAGATGTCAACTCAGAAGATTTATGCACTAATAACTTCCCTTGGAATTCTGGGGGTAGGGATGGGGGGTGAACTCTTCTAAACATTAGCACACTTTGAACTAGCCACCCCGAACATGCAGAAGCAAATGAAGGTACTACGCATTCATCTGTAAGCAAATTCCACAAAAAGCCTATGGCTGCAGCGTAACAAGCGGGTGCTTTGAAAGTTGAAATTACTTTGATTAAAATTTAAGCTCAAATTTGCAGCTCAGGGTTTTCTTCTTTGACAGAAATAAAAAGGGGAGCGTGCTCTTTGCAGCACTTCCTGGTAAAGTTAAATCATCACTCTCTTCTCTGAAATGCTTTGGGAGGAGCTGGAAGGAAAAGAGGTGTCTTAGAAGGAAGAAAATTGTTAAAGAATCAGTGAATCTGCTCATTATGGGGAAAGCCAGAGAGAAAAGGCAGTGCAAGAAGCAAACCCTTAAAGCTGTGATCCTCTAGACGGTATAAACTCAGAGCAATAATACTGTGTTGAGCACCTGCTGGAGAAGCTTTCTAAATGTGTCTTTAGGGCTGGGGACTCTGAACACATTACTTGGTGGGGTAAATATCTGGTACTAATAAATGTGGGAATGGACTGGGTGACAAACATTACTGCTATCGGGCAGAGGAACTAACCTGCATCATCTCAGCACCTCTGACCCCTGCTCCCCAATGGGGCTGTCCCCCCCCCCAGCCGATGGCCCTATGGCACAACACAGGGGTCCCTGACAACTGCGTAGTTCCCCACCACACCATTGTTGCACCCCACAACCTCGGGGCTGTTTGCAACGACGACAGGAGAGCCCCCCAGCTGCCTGACAACACAGCCTTGGTTTCCAAAGCTGACCACCCCACCAGCTTGGCACTGCCCCATCCGAGCATTCAAGCCCCCGTTTCCTGTGCTGATGACGGTGTGGGCTGGGTAACCCCCGCTCCGGGAGCTGAACCCCCCATTTTTGCAGTTGACAGCTCCGGCTTGGCAATACACCTCTGGGACACACTGCTTGGCCACCGAGCTAATGACTCTCTTGGGGTGGATCCCAGCACTCCGGGAGCTGAATCCTCCATTCTGGGAGCTGTGTCGTCCAGACCGTCTTCCCAAGGAGCCGTAGCCACACGCAGCCCCGTTTGCAGCCAGCATCCCGCAGTCCTCGGGGATGTTGTAGCCGCTGCTGACCACAGCTGCAAGACAGCCCATGGGAGGGATTATTTAGGGAGGAAAACTAGAAGGCTCTCACAAGACATGCTGCTTCATGAGCAACAGAACCAACCAAACCTGATCTTCTCTAGATTTGTCCAACATACCTGAGCCCCTGCTCCTTCCAACTCCTTCCCCGTGCCCCAACACATCCCCTCTCACATCCTCCCAGTTCCCACGTTGCTCATCTGGTTGGTGGCATGTTCTTTCCCAGGTTCAATGCACATCGGTGCTTTGTCTGGTGGATTCACCATGACAACTTGCTGTTGCCTCCAAGAGTAGAAAAGGGTCGTGGATTAGACCTCCCCCCCTCCATCCAAAAGCTGATTTTTTGTGTATTCAGAGGAATTTGAGATTTTTGCAACTAAACCTTCAATATCAGCCTGGGCTGAAAGGAAAAGGGAGACAGAGAGAGCTGGGGCAGATGGGTAGTGCTGCTCCATAAACTGCCTTTCCTAACATGAGAAACCCTCATGGCTGAAAATCTCCAGGTTACTTACACACGCTCACTGGGTTCCCCACACATATCCTGTTAGGGGAGAGAAGAGAAACACATGTTATCCTATTAACCAGTTGCATGCACATCTGGAAATCTGACTTTACTCATAACTTCCAGCCCAGTTCATCCCATGTTGTAACATGTTTGACTACTCCTAGGATAGCAGGATAGCACTGTTTTTGCTGGCACAAGGGTGGCATGTATGGCCTCCAGCTATTTCTCCAGACCCATTTTCTGTGAGTCTGGGAGGATCCTGGAGCTGCAAAATTCACTTGGGAGCTGGAAACATTCTGGCTTCTGGAATACAGGTGAAAAGGGACAAGGTCTCTGTCACCTACCTGCTCTCTTCACCTTCCAGGAGAGTCTTATACGTTGCAATCTCAATATCCAGGGCCAGCTTGACATTCAGCAGCTCCTGGTAATCCCGTAGCATGCAAGCCAGCTCATCCTTGGCCTTCTGGAGGGCATTCTGCAGCTCAACGTGCTTCTCCCGGGCATCTTTGAGGGCACAATCCCCACGCTGCTCAACATCACAAATGGAGGTTTGTAGGCAGGAGACCTGTCAGAGGGGAAGATAACAGCTCATCTGTCTTCCAGGCTTCATTTCCCAATTCCTGGACATTCTAGTTTTTAATTCACTTTTCCAATTGCAAACAGAGGAAAAACCCACTAGAGTCCCCTCCTCTATCTATTTTTCAACTATACACTTTCCAGCTACAGCCGAGTACAGGTTTTAAGTCTACTAAAGGCCAATCTTCCCCCATAACTTAGTTGTCCTCTGAGACATTGCTCTTTCTGGAATCATCATTCGAGGCCTTTCCTACCTGCTTCTTCACGTTCTCCAGTTCACACTGTAGCTTCTGTATCATACGGGTTAGCTCTGAAATCTCACATTTGTTGCTTTGCAGGTCATCACAGTACTTGCCTCTCTTATCCTGAAGCTCCTGAAACTGGAATCAAGAAACGAGACAATCACCAGTTTTGACCTGCAGCCTGTTAAGTTACCAGGGAGACACCCAGGTTACTTCTTACTCACCCTGGTTTGGTAGAAAGCATCAACTTCTTCTTTGCTCTTCTGAGCTATTTCTTGGTACCAGCATTCAACATTCTTGATGATGCTTTCCATGTCCAGGTCTCGGTTATTGTCCATTTTCACGATGACCGAAGTGTCGCATAGCTGGCTATCTACCTGAGCTCGTTCCTACAGGTTGGGGAATGGCTTAGTCAGCTGTTAGCACTCAGACTTTGTAGTGAAGGAAGGGCTGGGAGAAAGAGCCACACTGATGGATGGAACAAGTCAAGAAATGGCCCTCAGGTTGTCTCAGCAGAAAATCCTCCCTGCTGGATGAGTTGCCACATGTCAACTGCTGGCCTGCATGCTGACCTGCAGCAATTCTGTCCACATTAAGGGCAAGGAATTTGAGTGACTTAACCCTTGGCATCCTGTCATCTTCAGCTTCTTTACTGATGTTAATGACAGGATTAAGCTGGGAGTTTCTGTAGCTCTAATCAGACAACTGCAATCCAGAGTAACTAGACAGACTCATCTCTGTTGTCAGGGGTAGAGTTAGGACAGGATCAATTCATACCTGGAGCTGCATTAAGAAAAGGGGAACCACCCTATTTCCAGTATCATCATGTTAATATTATATCAACCTTGTACTCCCATTCTTTCAAGTATTCAGGGCTTGGGATGAGACATGTCCATCAAGGGTTTCAAGCTGTACAAATTTGGAGTACCTGAAGCATGAGACAGCACCACCAAACTCATGGGGCAGACCAGAGAAACTCACCTCCTCAAACACGCATTTCAACAACTCCAGCTGCCTTCTTAACAGATCCACCTTCACCTCCAGCTCTTCCTTGTTCAAAAAGATACAGTCTGCATCCTGAAAGAGAGGAGACACAGTCCAGTCCTATCTCACTGCAAACAGTGGAGAAACACACAGAAATCAGAGACAGCACCAATAAAACAGAAACATGTTTCAACAAGATTTCAAGAGCACAAAGGTGTGAGAGGGTGAGTCAGGATACTGTGGTGTCTCCTCAAGGAAAACAAAACCATTCCAACACGACTTACAGGGATTTGTTTATTTATTAGTGAGGACGTGGCTACAAGCTCAGAATTGACTAATGATGTTTAAACATAATTCTTTAATATTGTTCAAATGATTTCTGCTTTTCTGATGTCCAAGTATAAAGGAAGTGAAGAGACAGTCAGAAACTAAGCAGCGTCTTAGTGGGTATTCCAGTGTGACCTCTTCCACAAATGCACCTTCCCATTGTGCTTGGGAGAACAAAACTATTGCTGCAGTGCTGATGATGTAAGCTTTGAGGATACAGTATTTTTGCTTTCTAGTTTCATTTGCCTCTGTTTCTGACCCTGTGCATCATTACAGGCCTCCTCCTTCTGCTCATTGTAACACTCTTGCCAGACATTTGCTAATAGTGCATTATTTTGGCCAAGATTTATACCAAATATAATGATTCATGTATTTTGAGCTTCTCACCTTTTTGAGTGCCACAAATTCATTCTCCACAGTTGTGCGCCTGTTGATTTCCTCCTCATATCTGTTGGAAAAGGAGAAGAAAAGGGCTAAGGCAAGCAATATTATCAGACACACTGACAACCATCAGGTATCAATAATGACCTTCACTTGCTCAGATGCTGCCATCAAGCACTGTAAGATCAGTGTCTGGAGACCAAACATTAGACTATTCAAAGATCAGAAGTTTCTTCATGAACAACCACATTAACAATGCAAAGAGTTTGTAAGTGAGACAGAAGAATGTGACAACCCCAAAGGGGATGTGCCACATGTCTGGGAGATGTTGCCTGAGATGAACCAGAGGAGAAGTGAAATGCCAACAGCTAGAGGAGACTCGTAGGTCCTTACTTGCACTTGAACTCCTCCACCAGCTGGCTTGTGGCACATTCTTCACTGCCCAGTTTTTGCTTCTCACAGAGCAAGCAGTCCAGGCGCTTCCGCAGGTCGCAAATGTAATTCTCAAAGTAGAGTTCCAGGTTTTTCCCTTTCTTTGGTAGGACATATTGCTGCAGGAGGCCCCACTTGGTCTCCAGCACTTTGTTCTGCTGCTCCAGGAATCGAACCTGCAGGCCAAGAAACAGCAATTCTTCAAATCAAGAGATAAATGTCATAACTCGGCACCTTATTTAACTGTCTGATCTCGCTCAGGTGTAAAAATAGGATTTTGGGGAAGTGAGAGGTGAGATGCCAGGATAATGATAAAAGTATCTGCCCTTATTTAGAAATCTAAAAATCCCATGTCTACATTATTTAGAAATCTAAAAGCTACATGTCTAAATCTGCCTTTCTCACCAATGAATAGAAATAAAGCTCCTTTCATGGTGCCTTTTGTATTTTAAGATGAAATTGAGTCCCCAGAGGGTGGGACCTGTTTGTTTTTTCTACAAAAGGATCCTAAAGTGACAGCTCAGACTTAGATATCTGACGTTTAGGTGCCTGAAACAAGATTAACCTCCTTTGCCTTCAGGAATGCTTTGGGAACAGTCACTATATTTAAAGACAAAGGGGGGAAAAGGGTCTAATACAGGGCAAAAAGATGAGCCCATCAGGGCTGCAATTTCTCGCTGAGCTAGAACAAGGCTGAATAGGGAAATCGAGCTTTATACTGAGGCTGTCCAGAGAGGAGACACCAGCAAGAAAGTCCAGTGCTCCTGTGGCCACAATAGAAACACCATCAAACACCAGGACTGGTGTGTGGCTGAAATAAGCCCTTCCCCAATACTGAGGATCTCAGTCTGAACCAACACAGCTCTGGGAATCTGGACCCTTGCATGGACCCAGCTCGGTGGTTTATGGCACGAGCAGGTTTGCACTCACCTTGTCGATGAAGCAGGCAAACTGAGTGTTGAGGGTCTTGATCTGTTCCTTCTCCTGGCAGCGTATTTCATGTTCCAGCGGGTCAACCCCAACGCAGAGGGGCTTCAGAAGCCGCTCATCAATGCAGATACCTTGGATACCCTCAGCCTTGCGATCAGGGTACCCTCTCACAATACTATATCCTCTGGGGCCACAAAGGCCAACCCTTCCTCCAACACTACCGTAGCCTACACCTCCGAAGCCGAACTCTCCAAAACATCCATTTCCACAGCTCCCATTCACGTAGGAAATTCTCCTGTTTCCACCAAGGTTGCAGACGCTCCTGCTGCTGTAGGCACCAGCTCCGCAGCGCACAGGCTGGCAGGCAGAGGCAGCATAGCTGCGACCACAGATCTCCGAAGCTGAACTGAAGCCTCTCCGTCCCAGGACAGATCTCACTGTAGGTGCCTGTCTGCTCATCGTGGCTTACTTGAAGGTGGAATATGGAAGTTTAGGGGAAGCTCTTCTGCAGGAGAGGAGCAGAGATCCCACTAGAGTGGCACAGTGATGCTAACCCCTTTTATATGTTTGGGAAGCTGGCCTTGATAGGATCAGGACGTTAATTTAAAGCGCTTAAGGGTTTGGTTTGCCTGGCAGCAATAAATGCTCCTCAAAATGCAAAACAGCCCAGCAAATACTAACTACTGAGGAAATAAAAAGGAATCTAAAAGTGCTCTGTTTGCAAGTTGGCTTAGAATATATTACGGTTTGAAGTGTTCCCCTAACTTACACTAATTATAGTTTAGCAAACATTTTTGAAGAAACTCTTTGTGATTTGTTTGCAGTGTGTCGTTTGGGGTTTTGTGTCTCATGGGGTTCTCTGTGTGATGGCAGCTTTTGCAGACTTGCACTTTGTGGGGGTAATTTCACAACCTTTGGGTGCGGAAGAATAACCAGTAACAAAAAACTCAACCATGGAAAAACACCATGGAAGTTGTGTTGTGATGGATGGATTATTTCTGTACCTGAAACACCAGCACATTCACTGAGTTATGGGTCTAGATAGGACTCAAAATGCCCCCCCAAAAATATCTCCCATGTAGCATTTCACACTGACCTTCTCTTAACCACCATGAAACTCCAATGAAACAGAGCAGGAGCTGTGGCATATTTTCAGTTTGCTTACCAGATTTATGTTCTGTGCTGTCAGTGACATTTTCACTTGAGCAATGCTTCAAATTCTCAACCTGAAGTCCATTTGACACAGTTAAATCTTTGACCCTCGCTATATCGGAGCTTCTACTAAGCTGGATGTCAAAAACGTTTTTGATCCATCTTCTGGTAGTCTCTACAGGGAACAAAAAAGGAACAGTAGCACGTTCCAGCCTGGTGAGATCCACCTCATTCAAGAAGTGGCAGCTAAAAGCTGGATGGCTTTGCCAGACAGGTCCTTGACACTCCATGGAGAGACATCTCCAAGAGAAACAGCCCCTGGCGCCATGCTTAGGGGAACTGGTCTTCCTGCATCAACAGAGGAAGTCTTAATGAGTGGATTAGACTGGACACCAGCTATGGCTTTGACTCACATTGGCAAGGTGAATCTCTCTCTCTCCTAATCACCAGCCCAAGGACATGAGAATGTATCCGCCAACCATCTTGGGGCCTTCTCCAAACTGACAATGGGGCTCTTTCAGCTCTTTGAGAGTAAAGTGTTTCGGAGAAAAAGAAATATTATAGTGCAAACAACTAAATGCCCTCAGCCCTTCCTGACCGAAGGGGAGCAATGCTTGCAGAAGTCTCCATGTTACATACAAGGGGTTGGTACCTGGGAACCCAGTAGCTGTGTTCCCTCATCTCCATTAACCCATCCCGAATTCATTTTCCAGGAGTTAGTATCGGGTGGTGCAAGCCCTAAAAATAATGCTAAACCTCCTGAAAACATTAAACCTTCTAATATCAAGTTCTTAAAAAGAAGTCATGCACAGCACAGCCATAGGACGTGACTGCAGCAGAGATACCCAAGGCTATTAATTGAAGTGTAATTGCAACTTATGTGAATTTGAGGGGCTGGTGGTATGAATTAGTTGCGTAAAGTGATACGTTTGCCCTATACAAATGGTGTAATTCAACATATTTACGGCATGACTTTCACATTACTCCTTTGTTTATTGTATTTTAGGCTCATGGTTCACACTGGGTTGCCAGCGCAACTGGCAATATCAGTTAAAACAAATATTAGAGACTTCAAGTTAAGCTTGTAACTTCCCAGATCCTTTAAGCTCTAAACAAAGATTTATCAGAACTTAAATGCATTTCTGAATCCAAAGAAGAGGACAAAAGGCAATTGTTATAGGCTTTATATAGGAAAACTGCATCCTGGACCAGGAGTGAGACAGAAGGCTGGCTCCCTTTCTGCACCCCATTAGACGTGTCGGCTGTGTGGGAGACACCTGGAACATAGCATAGACTGCAATTAAACGTCTGTGAACCAACCATGCTGCAGCAGCCCCGGTCCCAAAATGCCTCACCAGAACCCCTGGCTTCCTGATAGGTAAGAGATTTTGAGACTACATTGCCTGGTATTGGGTAAAATTTTAGCCAAATCCCTGTTGTTGCCACTGAATCCCAGTGAGAAGGCAGCAAGGGAGAAGGTTTGCTTAATGTCTTTTTGGTCTTTCCGAGGAACAAGGAGTGTTTCACCTGTTGGTACATAAGAACTCAAGAATCGGCAGTTCATTATTGTGAGTATGGACATGGGAAATGGGAGAGCACCCTGAAGCAAAAATTGCCTCTTTTTGATACAAAAAAAAAAAAAAGGGAAAAAAAAAAAAAGGAAGGGAAGGACTGAGGAAACAAAAAAAAAAAAAAAAAAAAAATAAAATAAAAAAGGAAAATATTTTGATGAGAGTTTGATGAGTCATTTTGACAACTTGCAATCTCTCCCTTTGTCAGCATTCTTCTCCCTGAATGTGCTGCTGAAAATGGAATTCATTACAAGAACATGTGAAGTTCACTAATTTGTTTGTTGCCTCTGGAAATGAATCTGAACTAGCTCTTAAAATAAGTTTTATGCGATAGTCTCAAAGAGCTGTGCTCCATCTCTGTAATTATCTGCAGCCAGAGAAAACTCATTGCATTCAGACAGGACAATGGCAATAACCTACCTGTGCTAAAACCATTCCATGGATGGAAGATCGGGTCATAACACGTGTTTTTGTGCATGTAGTTTCTTGAGCCGTACAGACTCTTCTCCATGTCATTCATGAGATGTTAAAGAGTTAGTTTGATTAGTGCAGCCTCATTCCCTTGTAGCCTAAAGCCAAAGTTGTCCAAGGGAATTCAATCCGGTAATGTATTTTTTCCTCTCATTAGCCTACATCTGAGCTACATTAGAAGTTGAGGTTGGGATTTTCAAAGGATGTTCCTCATAAAATTCATCAAAAACCGGGCCTGGGTGCACCTTCCTCCCTACTTCAGCCATCAAACTAGCCATGGATTCTAATTTCATCTTTGAGACTCCATCTATGGCTAATGGAAAGAGATAGGCATCTCCAGACGGTGATTCACCGCATCCTAAAATAGGCAGCTAAGGTGGGTGGGAGGAATCCACCTCTGGAGGTACTTACCTCTCTTCTTATTGACTACCAGAGGCAGTCTAGACAACCAGACAACTAGACCAGGCGCCCCACTTCTGGATGGTTAAAGCTGGGTGAAATTAGTCCCACCCTTTGGGCGCCAAATTTCTCTAGCACCTTTGAAGTCTAAATGAGAGCTCATAACATCACACGGCTCTGTCCCTGGTGTACACGTATGTCATATCTGTGTGCGGTCATGAGTGTCTGTAGAGCCGAGGCTTGCAACAAAACAAAGGGTTGGTTTGATCTTTCTCATGTTGATGTCTTCCTCTACCAAAATCGCGCAGTGGAAATGAATGTGGGATGTATGGAAATCCTGGCCCGTGAATGGGATGGCACCACGCTGCCCGCCAAAGCAAAAAGATAAGAGAAAGTTAAAAAATGCTGCGCTATTGTTAGGTTACAGCAACTTCCCTATAAATCCACAGGAGCTCTTCTCCCTTTCAGCTGAAGCTGTTTTCTTGGGCAGAAAAGGTTCTCTGAGCCACACAGAGAGAAGGAATTGCCCCTGAAAGGTGGGTCAGATCCTCTTGGGAAGCATATTCAGCCAACAGGAGATAAGCTCTTCCTTTTGTTATGCTAAAGGCCTAGTGTCCAAGCTCATGTTTGTGCAGCTTTGTGATGAGCTACTGAATTGCTGATGAAAGGCCCGGCTGGCGTTCAGAGGGGCTGGTCACAGGTTTAAGGTAAAGCACTTGCTGGATTAACTTACTAGATCTTGAAATGGTGGTGGTAGAAAGTTTGGAGGAGAGAAGCAACCCTAATTCTGTGTCATTTCATGGTTTATTCTTCTCTTGCATAAAAAGTGACAGGTTTGTCAATTTTCAATGGGAACATCATAACCTTTATGAGATGCTTAAACCCCTCTTAATGAATATTTATGGCTGCTCAACTCTTCCTTTCTTGTCAAATCTTTCTTGTGGTTTTCTTCATTAAAGAATGAGCCTGTTTTCTTTTGTGCTCCCCATATTTGATCTGGAAATAACTTCCTATCACAAGGGAATTAGGGGGTGGGAGAGAAATCTCTTCCAGTTCTGAATCACAGTAAGTGCTTCAGATAGGAAAGACTTTTCCTCTGGATTCCTCCTTCTATAGAACACATACCTGTCCAACGTGCCTCTATATGGTTCACTTCTTTGTTCTGCTTATTTTCTTTCATCAGTTCAATCGCAAAACACTTTAGTCCTTTTTGGTTGAGTTATGTAACTAATTTGTTGGCTGCTTCTTTTAATCTGCTGAAATGTACAATAAAATATCCCTCTTTGATCTGTTTTGACTAAATCGGTAGTTATAGGATTACTAAAATGGTGCTGAAAAAACCACCAAGCACATTCCTGAGTTTTTTCCCTGTAAATGGCCCCATTGCAGCAGATTTTGGAGAGGAATAAAACATGTTTTGTCGTCACATCTCTGCGGTAGACACACTACAAACATGCAAAGAGACTGAGATAACTTCTCTATGAATCTTGAACCACCCATTGAATAGCATTGTGTGGGAGCCAGAGTTGGTGTAAATCAGCATAAATAAGCTGACTTTAAAAGGCTTCATAACTGACACCAACCAAAGACTAGATCTGCATGATACTGTCTGGGCAGCATTGCCACCTCTGCTTAGTTGTTACGACTTTTAATCAGCAGATATGTCTTGTCTGGTTTAGGAATAGGGCATTTCTGTGTTCTTTGCAAATGCTAAAAACTAAGTGGCAACACATTTGCTCCTGTGCAATTCATTGGAAAAAAAAGGAAAAGAAGGAAAATATTTAATTAAAGCTCTTGAGTCATCAAGATAGAAGTGAGGGTGCTGCCATTGATGTGTAAGTCAGGACACTAAGCAAGGACACTAATAGGAGTACAAGCAACGTAATTACTCTTTGCTGACTACAGAAGGTGAAAGGTGGTTTTGGGAAT